TGTATTTTTAAGCTATCTAGTAGGCTGCCGAAGGAGTCAGCTTTGAAGAGAACTACTGGTTAAATGCCGCAAACCCTTTTCTCACACGGTAAGGGCTAATAACATTGAGTAAATGGCCATTTTCCAAAGACGAGACAGAGCCAGGATCAAAAACCTTGCTAAGAAATTCAAAGTGATTCTCGTTTTATCAGAGTGACCAGTAACAATTTCACCGACATGTCTGAATTATGGAGCACAGTTTGTTCCCCTTATCCTAACGACAGTTTAGGTGGAATCAGCTAAGGAGATTTCCCGATCACCGCGACCATGGCTGTTCACTTAAACCCGAGGGTTTCTTTGCTGCTTTCCCCTTGATTGTTGAAGACTGATATTTTAGCACCCGAATAAGACCTTTGTTCCAATGCCATAAAGTATCGGTCGCTCACAAAATACCTTCTCTAGAAGAAACTATTGGATAAAGCTTTCGCGGTCATAATTGCGGAGTTTTGCATATACAACCAAATAATTAAATCCTTCCAAAGTAGCCTTCTCTCAGAACGTTCTTGAGAAAAGCATCATTTGTCTTTCATGAATCCTCGTGCATTGACAGCTCCCTTATCTATAAAATCGGAAATAATATCATTATGTTATCCTCAAGCTGTCATGATCTATTAAAATTATTACACTTTCCTATTTACGGACAACAAAAGCTCACTATTTTGCTCTCCATTACCCTCTGTGAGAATTTGATTGAACTAGCGCCACTTTCGACAAAAAAAGTCTTCAATCGTTCCCCATTTCGAGGGAAAATTGTAGATTTGCCCTTTCGATTCTAACGTACGCATTAATTACAGCGAAATTTGCGAGAGAGACTTGAAGGTTTACTATAATGACTTTAACAGGAGTTAAAAATGAAGAAAATACTTCTATTACGTCCTATTGTGCATTTTATAGAAGAATTTCAATTTTGATTTAGTTACAGAGTCAAAGTAGCGGCCGAAAAGACTCGTATGTAGCCGAAAAATAAACCTGTATGGATTGGGATTTTCTCAGAAGTGAATGTATGCCTAATGATAAACCACCAAAAGGCAGTCGGCTACCTGTGCGGTTGCGCCCTTTTAATGGTACTGACCTAACATTCATGAAACATCCCAGCGATACACGGAAGCAGTCGAAGCAAGATGACAGTCGTCTTCCTCCTTCATTTCAAGTTCCAGCAGTCGAGACAGAAAATGTGCTTGTGGGCAATCAGGGAGAAATGCGATGATGGGGTTTGGAGGCCCATATGACCAAATTAACGCATGTGATGACCGAGTGTCACGGAACAATATGAGCAGGTAAGGCAGATGCGGCGGGTTATGTTGGGATTCCCGACGTTAGTTCGACTGTCTTAGTTCATCGGGTTCGCAGGTGACCGGTCAGACCTTCGCGTACTTCAAATGTACGGCGGCAGTAAGGGCATGATGAAACTCTGGCTACTGTGCTGTTATTTAAAGCAGGCAAGGACAGCAGAATTTAATGATACCAGAAAATTTCGCGACGGCTTCTCAACTACAGCCTGTCGTTGTATAAAAAAATAACAAGTGAGCAATGTACAGAAGTTTGAAATTCCGTTGATCCCAAAACGTCTATTCGAGTGTTATTTTGAGCCCGAACTACTCGGTTATTGCGCTCCCTGGAGACAGCCTATATACGGCGGGAGAAACCCGACCTATGTAAACAGTTAAACCACGTGGTCAACCTCAGCCTGCCGTCGTAGACCTGAGCCCTTTTTGGTTTTTGAAATCCCTCGGCATGTTGACTTCCCCATTTTCAGTCCTATGTTGCATTTTGAAGTTATCATTTTATTGATTAGTCTAGGCGCAGTATACGTTGACCTTGCTGTTTTAATTCATTTTCTCTGTCGAAATCTAAACCGCTGTACCTTTCTCACTTGTTATTTGTGTTATGCAACGACAGGCTGCAGTTGAGAAGCCGTCGCGAAATTTTCTGGTACCATTAAATTATGCTGTTATTGACTGCGTCACTGGTAGTGGACTTGGTATCACTAGTGAAAAAGGAGGTTTCGGGTTAATATATATGATGTTTGCGATGTGGCTCTGTTGACTCCTGCTATTTGAATAAACCCACAACGTGTCCGAATGCCTTGGGGTATTGTGGACAGATGAGACGTGTGTGATGGTGTGTGTCGGTAATTCGAATACTGGTTCACCGAGATCGGAACGATGCATTTACAGGTGTCTACTAGGGCCAATACGTGGAGTAGGGGTGCGATGGCAAGGGAACTAAACTGGGGCTGAGCTCACTTTGCTGATCCCAAGGACAATGCAACTTATGTACGCAGGGTGGCAGGAACGGCTTCACTTCGAATGCTGATGGTGGCCTTACTGGTTGTGTGTTGTAAGAGGAGGGTCGGTTCGTCCGCCTGCTACTGTGCTGGACTGCGTATGTCAAAGGTGGCCGATCCCAGCCCGAGATGTCCTATGATAGTGTCGACACGATGGGGTCATGCGAGGTTTGTCTGTAGCCTCGTGTGAGCTTGAAGTCAATCAAAGCAACCTCTTCGCTGACAGTTTTTAGGCAGAGCAGGGAAGTGCACAACCCATCAAGAGAGAGTTTGCGGTGACTTCTTGAGCTCAAATTGTATGCAAATTCTCCCGATACAAGCTACTCTAACCCACTCTCACCCCTATGACTTCTGACTTATGAATGTATGTGTTGTCCGCGATTGGAAACTTCCGCGTCAGCTTCTCTAAATGACCATATGAAATGGGCAAATACAATCGGGATTTTATTCCTTACCCAAAGGAGTGTCAAAGAAATAGATCATTAGATAATTCTGAAAGAACGAACTTCTTACCTACTCTCTTCCTATCCGTGCAAACATATGAGACGGCTGTCCAAGAGAGATTTAAGTTATTCCCCATAAATCGTGGCGGTTACTTTCCAGGACCCTCTACGAAAAAAATGAAAATCCACAGACTGAAATCCGTATGTATTTATGCTTGTTGCTATATATTTTAAGCCGTCTTAAACGCTCCGACGCTCTTATAAACAAATTCGACACAATTAAACAATATAGACTCTTCAGATTCTTTCAGATATTAGGTAATATTTGTTGAAATTATGCATGTAAGCACACATTTTGCATACTACATACAAAGACAACTGTCGCATATAAACGGGGAGATTTATTTAACATGCAATACTGTTTTAAGCATATTGCAATAATACATGTTTTAACAAAAAGGATAGTTACTAACGGCCTATTTGCGAAATCAATTGGGCAAACAAACTGAGGAAACATGTACCAGAAATGAAAAGGGCCATTGTCAGCATAAATTCACGAGCCAGTGGAAACTCCGCGACACATATAATCGGATATACTTGCGTATAAAATCTCCGATAGGGTGGAGCGCGAATGTCGGAGTGCGATTTAGCGAGGGATTGCAGTATACCCTTAATTACCATATCCAGCGACAAAATTAGCAGGGTGGCACCCGCTGAGGACATGGTGAGGAAAACTTTGGGACAGCTAGAATCCACTAAATCACCTAATCTGGACGGCACATCTGCAAGAGTTCTGGATGAAATCGCAGACCTACTGGCCTCCGCGTCCTGCAAGACCTCCCAAAACTCACTCTAGATTGTGACTCTACCTGCCGACTGGAGGCAGGTAAATATAAGTCCCATTTATAAAGGGGCGAGAGAACCTCAGAAAACAAAGTAAGATCAGTGGGCCTCACAAATATCCCTTGCAGACTGATGAGGAAAACAATAAAATCGAAGCCAGAAGTGCAGAATGAAAAAAAAACGGTCTGCTAAATTTTTCCCAATATGACTTCAGGAGAGCTCGATCTCGCCTCGCTAACCTGTTCTTGTTCATGGTAAGCCGGATGGAATCTCTTGAAATGGGTTTAGCAGTATGTGCAATCTACTCTGGCTTCGAGAATGTCGTCAACAATGTACCACACGGACGACTGGTATTTAAATTACGTCCAGTAAGCATGAATAGAAATCTACTGAAATGTTTGACCGACCTTTTCACATGCAGGTCTCAACGTGTTTGTATTGGTAACGTCAAGTCAGAGAGGACATTTGTTCACAGGACTGTCCGCAGGGAGCGCTCGGAGTTCCATTTTGCTGAGAATCCCAAGTTGCAGAAATTTACAGGAAAGCTAGAAGGCGCATCACGATTGCAAAATAACTTGAATCGCTCGCAACAGTGGCCTAATGATTGGTACTTGAACCTCAGTTCTAGCAAATGTCCAGTTAATCAATCACCATTTTGCAACAAAAAGACAGCTAGGCTTGAGTACCACTATTTCATTAGAGGTCAAAAGCTCGGATCCATCAATGAATCAAGAGATCTCACCCAGTACATACCCCCCACTCCCGAGCCACTGTCTCAAAGCGCCAAAGGCAAATGTTAGAGTATCACTGACGCGGCCGAGACATACTTCCTTAATTTTGACGAAGATTTTTTAGGTCGGGTGCCTGTAAACGCATTTTCGCCAAAGTCAGAATATTGTTCCCAGAGTGGCGTGCCTGAACGAAGCAGGTTTACACAATCTTGGAATGCCTACCACGAAAAACGGCCAAACTATTCAGCGGATCCACTGCCCTGCAAATTCTCTCTCCAGCTTTTATTAGCTTAAGTCCACATATACTGGAAATAAATATGTTTTGTTGTTCAAGACATTAACTGGCAGTATGAGCTTTTCTTAAACCCAGTAAAATATATTATCCGCGAACGAGGTCCCATGCTCAGGCCCCACAGATTCGACGTCAAGGCACATTATCTAGCTTCTCGTAGAACGAATGCCTACCTAAAAAGCATAGCTCACTTGGTGCAACGTCAGGAAATGCAGAAGATAAAAATAGTCAGTACTAAGCATGGAATCTACGGGATGCTAAAGAACCTTAATCCCAACAGCATTCACATTTGTTCTATTGACTACCAAACAATGACCTTGAATCTGAAATGATTTGGATCCCCGTGCAGTTACCGTGCCCCGCAGATGGACGCACGCGTTTCGTCTAAGCTTCTTAAAATCACATCGAAGGCTGGACTGGCATATGTTGGTAAGCTCCACGCTGTCGACATAAAGCATTCGACAGTTACGCTTTCTAAAGGTTTGGTCGGTCTTCTTTTTTAAACAAATTAGTGAGAGTTGTTAGCTCGGCAAATGGGGACCAAATATATCCGCAAGTTTATAACTACGTCATTTTCCGCGGATCAGACATAAAGGACGTCTCATTGTTGGAAAATTCACCGCACGATATTTTATTGGAAAACGACCTAGCCGTACTTCATGTCAAGCGTATCCAAAATTCTACCTCGGTTTATTTTAGGTTTCCTTCAAGGACAGAGTGCTTTGTGATGAAAACAAGGTAATCCTTATTAGAAAAACTAGATTTTTAGAAAACCATAAACGTCCCACAAGGTACCGAATTGATTTCTCGTCGCATTCTTAGACGGAGCCTGTGTCTGCGTTCAACCCCGACCGTCGACGTTTTCATCCTCCAAGTAATCGCTCACTTTCAATGCTCAGATTAATTTGAAACTACAATGTAAAGTTTTTTCAGTTTTGAACGACAGAAGTTATTCTGATAAATTACTAACCTATGTTGTCCTTCCCTGTCCGTGCTTCTCATTCACAATCTTTTAAACTTGTAATAGTAACTCTAATTGCCACTGGAGAGCTATTCCGGGTGAGAAACAGAGTGGTCCAGACAAAGAAGTCCTCCCGATCCATAAAAACTACAACGGCATCTTACCACCGAGACAGTGGATACCTTTTAGACCGACGTACTCCAAAACCTATAGGGGAAGACAGCAGAAGTCCAGCAATAGTTCGTGAAAATTCTGCGCCAGGAGGGATTGACCTCAGATGCTTCTACATTCAACTTTATTTTGTTTCCACTGAAGCGAACAGAAAAATTAATATCAATGCGGAAATTTCCTATTCTCACGCTTTGCCCTCGAAAATAAAACTGGAAAAATGTCTGGCTTTGACCTATTTCGTTCAACACATGATAAAACAAATGGGTTCCCAAAAATAAAGTCCTGATCTCGTACTAGGCACCGTATCTTTTTAGAGAACGTTCTTCTCCAGTGTCAGAGTTGCCTGCCAAAATTGCAGTAATCTGCTCCCCCCTAGCTTTCGTTATGTTCTGGCGAGTCTAACGCGGGAGATGACTAGCCATCAGAATTCAATAATAAATGGATTCACATCGATCTATTGGTTTTCCAAAACAAGTAGGTCCCATATGGATGGAAAGGCTACGGACAAGCAACCAACTACCAGGTCGAAGTCGTACAAGTTATAAATAGCAGAGTGAGGAGGGACGGCAACGGATGCCGGTAGGCTGGTACAGTACTGTTTCGGGCTTATACTGCTTTCATTCAGCCAATAATAATCCTACTACTAGCGGAGACCAGAAACGAAAACATGCACTTGTAAACGGCGCAGATGGCCCCCAGGCGGAGTGCTACAGACGGGTCATGAGCACTTGATCGGACTACAGTTCATCAGTGTCCCGCCACCTGTTATTCTGGGGATGCAAGGCGAGGACTTATACCATCAGGAATGGGCGCACACCGGTCTACTAGCTTCCCGAGGCAAACCGGTTTCGTATGGGTGGCGAAAGTCACGAACAGGCAATCGACTGTCAGGGCCAAGTTGCCCATGTCATACTAGCAGAAGAGAGGGACAGGACGGCATGTAGAAGCACTGATAAATTCCGGTTCTATCAAGCGCTTATGACCCATCCGCTGCACCTCGTCTGTGCACAACCTGCGCCGTGCGTTTTTGGTACCAGCCGGTGGCCAAATTGAGATTGGCTAAATGAAACCAGAATAAGCCCTAAACAGTGCTGTGTTAGTCTACCCACATTAATCACCGTCGTCCTCCTGTAAACATGTGTTTTGGTCACCATTAAAACTGTTGCTGGTTTAGTTCCACTACTTCTAGGCTATTAGTGACATTGCTCACTAGAGCCAACCTCTGACATTTGGGAGTAAACCACTGTCCTACTTACATATATCCAAGCTATAATCCTTCTGACGACGCATGATACTAAATCCAAAATTGGGACCGTGGATATAATCGAAGCACTTGAAGACGTGCAGGCCCATTCAGGGCTTCTGGCCCAGAAACCTCGCAAACCTGATTATTGGCTTAAATCGGCACAGATCTCTAGAATAAATCCGTCCAACTGAGCTTAGATGCATGAAAGGACAGCGAAAACGCCGACATGCGTGTCACGCGAGGAATCTGACTCCCGGCTTATCAGAATGCAACTCTACTTGGCTACTTATTGGTGCCATCGTTGGGCTCTCGGGTGCCGTCAAAACCAGGCTTGACCGTCACCGCATATTTTGATGCTCTTAACAGTAAGTCACTTAACAGTAGAACACTTGTTAAAGTTCTCGCGTTCAGTAATTGTCCCTATTAATACCAAATTGTTAGAATAACTCAGAAGAGCTACCTATAAACTTACCTAAATAAAATGGAGAAAGCGCGGTACATGAACACCCCCGACTGTTCTTGGTCGGATTAAAGGAATAAGTCGTCGATACTTCATGTCAAACTCGAATAATTACTTGATTGAATTGTGAAAAACTCGGCGGCTCTGGCGTAATTAAAATACCGGCTCCCAGTGGTGCCTCAAAGCTCAGATGATTAGAGCGTTGGCTCTACTCAAGTCTTTACTGTTATGGGTTCTATCGCCACCAAGTCTTTGAAAACAAGGTCAAATGGAAGTGAATATTTAAAACGCGAGTTCTGCATCGAAACAACTGACGGATATTAGCTCTTTGTACCAGGCTGTTCTTAAACAATGTGGTAGTGGCATATGCTACAGTTCAGACAAAATCTAATTATAGCACGACTTTTTCATATATTACAAAAGAAACGAACGATCTTATTCACAGGGCCATTTATTTAAGGTGAAAGTTATCGATACAAAGCATAAAAATACAGTGTCGTTAGGTACCGGCTCGTGTTTGCGCGTCGAAGGTAAAACCACACGAGCGTCCAAAACGCACATTGACTCGCACCGAACGCGCTTGCTCGCCGATAAACCCGAGCATTGGTTTAAAAACAAAAAGCGCTTGTCGTACATATTTACAGAAACGTGCTTAGGTTTTCCGGATGAGTGAAGGAGCACGGGCAGCAGCAAATTAATTCGTGGTCCCACTGTTAGAAACAGAGGAGGACGAGGAGGAGGACCAACAGCCGCAACGATTCGTATGACGCACCCTGGCTGACATGTCGCGCAGAGCATTACCCTGGGCCTGGACCACATGCATCAGCTTGGCAACACGACGCTCCAACACGCGGATCTTCTGCACCAGGACTGATATATCCTCGTTGCCAGAGGTGGCGCTGTGGGTAAAAAAAAGGCACAGTGCTACTGATCAGTCGCTTTAACAGGAAATAGTACTGAAAAAAAACAGTATCTGAATGTGCCAAACCTTTGAACTTTCCGGGGAATCGCCCATTCCGGTTGTGAACTGATAGAAGCAGGTGCGGATAGCGAATATGACTCGGGGTGATGATGTCTGGGAGATGCAGGCGGAGAGCTCTCCGGCGAGTTTTCCATCGACGGCAGCGACATGGGACGTGTCCTGTTACACTCCAGCTGGATCGACATGTGGTCTGTGGAATCGTCAACAGGACTGATGCTCGAAGGGGCTCTGTTGATCTGGGAATGCGGCGGGTAAATTGCAAAGTAAGTAAGAAACAAGCTTATAGATAGTTGCATAGGTGGAGCGAAAATCTTAGAAGTAGGCTTTTGCCCACATTTGCCAGTCGCTCCAGGAAAATCTACACTTGGTACCACTTTACTGTTCGGAAATTTGACTGTTTAATGTCATGGTCACGCTTTATTTTAAGTTGAAAGTAAATTTGTGTCCGACTATACAACCGGGATTAAGGTGTGCACTGAAGATGATCGTTAAACATCTAAGCTAACTTGGAGTAAGTTATTCGAAATGAAGCTTCATAGGCTCACTCCGAAATATCTGAGCCCTGTGCATGGCCATGCGAGCAAGACATTTTGCAATTAGAAGAACAGAAGTTAACTCGAGCGGGTAGGTGGAAGCAGTTTTTGTCGACTGAGCCATGTATTGTACACATTACCGTATAAAACCGTCGTGTAGAGGACCGTACTTATTCTTGTCGGCCATGGCTAGGGAGATAAAGAAACTGGAATGCCGAAGCGAAATCGTCTCATTGGACAGTGGAAGACAGAAGGTTAACTTTCGAGCAGAAAGGGATGTTTAGCAAAGTTTTTGCCCACCGAAGCGCGATCAAGTTCCAAGCATCCTGCCAACATCTGTTGTCTGCCTTGTCAACGTTTCGGCCATTTTTGACCTAGTAGTTCATGCTTGACTTACTAGACCGTTAAACCAAGTGTAGGCTAACCGTCGGTTAGTTACAGCTTCTTCTGCTGTAAAACTTGCAAATATATGCTAAACATGATAGATTTTTCAGCATTTCGAGCATTTTCAACTATGCTAACAGACCACCGCAGGGTTTTGAGATTTGTCAGCTTTCATTCCGCTCGAGATTCAAAAACCTTCCTTGTGCTGACAGTACTGCGTTTTTTTCACCTGACCACAACGTCCCATACAGCCAGTGTCCGTTGAACCAGCTGACCAAACAATCGGAGTAACAAACGCTGTACTTCTAGTGGTGGCATCCCTGATGACGGTTACCTGCAACAGGCGCCATCGAAGAGCTACTATACTACCGAGGGCGGAAGTTAAGATTCGTGCGTATACAGCTCACGGACTCCTAAGCATTGTTCGCAGAAGCTCATGGAGTTGTCATGAGACCGGCATGATTACTTAAATTTAAATCTACAAGGCCTACAAGCGAACCACGTTTTCAAATGCATGGTAGGGATGATTAGAAGAAGGCGGCAGGTTTCGGATGGCATCCAATTTGAGTGGTTTACGCCCACTCCCCGACGAAAGCAGGATGGACGTACTACCAGGGCTCTGGATCCTCGACTACACCGTAGGCAGGAACGATATCGGGCGACCAGTAAAAGGCAAGTTCAGTAGCAAAAGAATGGTACTTTTGGCTTAACTGCCTCCATCGACTAGCTATTAGCCCACCCGTCCCGGCGTTGGATACCGTTCAACGGGACCCGAAAAAAGATTGAATCCGGTAGCATACACTGCCCAACATCGGAGTCAAGACTGGACGGAGAGGTGGCCTAGTTTAAAGGGATTGCCCTGAAGTCGGATAGAGCAGCAACGATTTTTGCTCTGGTACTGCTCTGAAGTACTGGTATGACTGCGGCCAGTACGCTGAAGTTAAAACCTGCAATCCGCAATCTCATACATAAGACACAATCACCAGATTAGAGAAACGGATTTTTCAATGGACTACGACAATGCTCTACGCTTGGATTAAAACCCCACCGATGCCACGGTTTTTTGAAAGGCCACATTACAATATTGACGAAAGAGGTAGGCTTAAACTCTGCGGTCGGTAGCTGTCCAGCGTGAGTCAGCACACTTGGCTGGTCGGGCAAACCGACTAAGA